GAACGTTTTTAAGTTTCAAAAGAAGTATGTTTTCCTCCTTTCAGTAATAACAACAAGATAGCTTTAAGTATGAGCGATTTGAAGATTCTCAATGTCTTTGTAATTCCCCTTCAGAGGATGGTGCATATTGTTTATCTTGTGTAATTTTGAAGTACCTTCACCCTTCAAAATGTTCTAGTAGTTCTAGATTAGTAAGTACTGCTTGCAGGTGGTGATGGTGTGGGGCTGTCTATGTCAGAATCAGGCTGTCAAAGAAAAACGACAGTCAGATTCCCTGTCATGCTGATAAGTCCCTAGTATTTGGCCAAACAGCCAAACAATTTGATATTTATTTCAATGTTAGAAAATGTAGATTCTTACATACAAATGATAGTCATCAAAAGCGGTAATCAACCAACAAAAAATGCTGGAAATTGCATTTCCAAGACCGTTGTCAGAATAGATAATAAGCAGAAGTTTCACTCAGGGGTACATCGTGTGCCAAATTATAAGCCAACTTCCGGCGTGGCTTCCAACAATGTCAAGAGTTATTATACCAATCAATAAAAAGACCAAAGATGTTTTAATTTTGAAAATGAGTTATACAAATAATTCAATCTTATATTGTCTACATATATCTTAATATCTTTCAAAACTAAGTTAGAATATCTCAATGTTATCAGTGCAACCTGGTGCGGGATGAATCAATAAGTGATTTTTCGGCTAAGTAACCTACAATTTCCTCAATTACTTTATTTATCCAACTGTCAGGGGCAGAGTGTCTTGGGTCATTTTACAGAATGCAACGAATAGAGTTAACTTGGATTCATCAAATTTAATTCATATTAATTTTTACATTAGTAAATAAAAATGACTTATGTACGTTAATTAGCCTCCTTAAATATATGTACATGAATGTGTCTTATAATGTCAAGAATCATTGGTAATTTTTTAAATACATGTGTTTAACATACAAATAATTATTATCAGTTCCTTCTCTTTTACTTGTGAGACGAAACAATTCTCAAAAATGGTGACTAGTCCATTAACCATTCTACTTTCCATTATTTGGGAAGCTAATCGAACTTCTAGTTACAAAAATGAATTAGGATGACCAGTGGTTTTTATACCGAATCTTTTGCCAATCCCTTTAAAATGAGAAAAATGTAAAATGCTCTCAATTCAGCTATTGAATTTTATCAAAAAATTGTAAGTGAGAATGAAGTAAAAAAGAAACATTAAAAATCAGAGTTAAATTCACGACACCACAAACTCTTGAGAATACTCTGAGGATGTGCTATTAATGCAAGTAGTATAATAAAGAGAGCATTTCAGTACAAATTGTGATAGAGGAATCAATTATGGCAGTCTAAACCTAATGTACAATTTCAACTGGAAACCATCAAACACAACAAACATGGACTTCTGTAGAGCATATGAAAACGCACCTTATATCCAATCTTTAACCTCATAGATTGCGTTTCAGAGCATATAAATACCATTGTCTTGCATTTTCTGACCATAAAAATTGTGTTGGAGACCAAAAACTGTTTTAAAGGCTATATAAGGCTTTCTATTCTCACTTTCACCATACTAGCATATAATGATTTGGCGAAGGAGGCTTTCTTTCAAAATGGCGGCTAAGATACGTGAAGCAAATGCATGAGCACAAAAACTTGAAAGGTTCCGACACGAGTGAGGCCTCTGTATATTATCCATTCTGTGCCATGGAAATCAAAATATTCAGGGGAAAGCCTGCTCCCACGGACCCCCTAGATGGCACCAAAATGCCTTCAACGTTTCGTGACAAGTCTTAGATCTGTCCTTGCTGGGTATATTCAAACCTGTTTATGGAAAATTATTTCACAGCAACGCAGCATTTGCATTTGTTCCAGCAAATTTGCTCACAAAGTTGAATGTCATGTCATGTCATGTCAGTCCCGTGACATTTTCATGTCGTAGGGGTGTCATAATAAAGACTGCAGTCAGGGATCTCCATTGTCTTCGCTCTTCTGTCATTCTCAGCAATTAGCTTAGTGTGTGTACAGTCCACTCTTTAGCATTGGCGAACCACGTTTTTCGTTGACGGCCTCTTCTACGTCCTCCTTCTACGGTTCCCTGGAGTATGGTCTTAGCCAGGGAATTGTGGCGATTAACATGGCTAAACCATGCAAGTTTCCGTTGCTTTACAATGGCTAGGAGCTGTTGTTGTTTGCCTGCAGCATCATCAATTTGTTGCCTCATATACTGGTTGGTCTTCTGCTCTGAGTAATGGATGCCTAGTAGTTTTCTGTAGCACTTGATCTCAAATGCCTGGATCCGCCTTTCAGTTTCTGCATTCAACGTCCAGCTTTCGCATCCATATAAGACAATGAAAATCACCAGTGATTTGTACAACTTGATCTTAACAGGGAGGCTGATGTTTGTGCTCTTCCAGATGGTGCCGAGTCTAGTCATAGCTGTGCCAAATCTTGTTTTGATCTATTTTGTTGTACTGCCATCCTTATTGATGATGGACCCCAGGTATTTGAAACTGTCTACCTCCTCTAAAGCTATCCATTCAATCTGATGTTGGTTGGTCCTTGCTTGCTGATACTGTTGACAAGAACCTTACTTTTCTCTGCACTGATTTCCATTCCAAAGGCTTTGCTGCTTCTTCAAGTTTTGTGGTGAGGTCTTGAAGCTCTTCCTCGCTACCTCCTATAATGTCGATATCATCAGCGAATCGAAGATTGCTAAGTGGTCTGCCATTGATGCTTATTAAAGGCTCTTACAGACGAACAAATTTTCTATGACAAAACTCTATGTTACCATTTTTTTGTGACAAATGTCCATGTATACGTGCAGCAAATTTTCTATGGCAAGTTTTTCATGTGGCATATTTTCTTTGACCGTCTGTACCCATCAACAAATTTTGTGCGACAAATGTTGTGGCCCGGGATATAATAGCACAGCATATATCAAAGAGAATACGCGGGAAAATCAGCGATAATCAAAGTAAACAATCGTCGGCTGTTCAAAGATGCCATATTTGAGTAAACACAAACGGATGATTGCTTGTGGCATTGGCATAACACTACTTATGCAATACGAGTACTCAAAGAGGCACTTAAATCGCCGTTGGTGGGTTCGTCCATGGGCCACACAGGAACGTCGACAAAGACAAGGTTTTGCATGTAATCTAATCCAAGAACTCAGAACAGTCGATGATAGAGCCTTCAATAATTTTTTCCGGTGAGTTTCGAAGTTTGAAACAGTGATTGTTCATAAACTATTTTTCGTAATTTAAATTCTAAAATTGCTTGGTTCCTTGTTTTGAAGAATGGATGTCAGCCTGTTTGACGAATTACTAGAAAAATTGAAGCCACTCATTACAGCGAAAAACACTACTATGCGTGAATCCATTCCTGCTCACCACAAGTTGTGTGTGACGCTGCGGTTTCTCGCTTCGGGAGAGTCCTATACACAACTTAGATATGCCTTTCGTATCTCTATCTGCGATTGCAGAATTTGTTCCGAAGGTCTGTGAAGCTTTATATGAAGTTCTCAAAGACGAATACATGAGGGTGCCATCCACACGATCACAATGGTGCAGCTAGCGAGTGATTTCGAGACGAAGTGGCAATTTCCCCACGCTGTGGGGGCTATTGATTGCAAACACATACAAGTTAAAGCTCCACCTAATTCTGGGTCAGAGTTCCTCAATTATAAAAAATACTTTAGCTTTGTTCTCCTTGCAATTGCAAACGCAAAAGCTCAATTTGTTGCTTTCGACTTGGGTGCCGCAGGCAGTCAATCAAATGGGGGTATTTTCAAACAAGGACACTTATCAAAAATATGTGAATCTGAAAACTTTCCATCACCAAGCTGCATAGAGCAAAGCTCACTTCCGCCAATTCCATATTACATATTAGGAGATGAGGCTTTCGCACTAGAACAAAACACATCCTAAGTGTTCACAGTAGATCGACACCCTACCCCTGCTTTCACAGTATTGACATCCTTATATGAGTTAAAAAACATATCAGACTTGATATTGGGCAAGTCCTTGAGAGATCCTACACGATCATGTGCGGTCTTGCCCATATCGTAACAAAAAATATGTTCCTTGAGATGGTAACAAGTAGCTCACCTAGGATGGTTCTTGCAGTTGGAAAGAAACAGTTATTAATAACTTTTACTTTGTTCAAGTGGGTAAATATCTCCCAAAAAATATCATATAAATACTATTTACAAAATTTTTAATAAACTAGAACATGCAGTTTTTCCCTTACTCCCAAGGAAAATTCTGAAGTAAATTTATCCAGAAGTTTGCAAAATTGCCTTGGTGCATAGTATGCACAATCTTTTACTAGACATAAGAGCACTAAAACCTAAGCAAATAAACCAGTGAAAACGAACCACTTTATGCACACTATCTAACGTAACAATATTAAACTTAAGAACACCAGTATCCAGGGCCGGATTAACATTTTGCGGGGCCCATGGCATAATATCAGTGCGGGGCCCTTGCCCCAACCCCTGTGTTTACCAAAATGCAATAAAAAACTGTTTTTTTAACTCAAACAATAAAACCTCGTATTTTGGCCTATTTAAACCAATACGTTGAATATAATTCCAATTTACAATCACGTACGTATACCAAACATTACATACCAATATTAAACAGACTAATATAATAAACACGATAAAAAAAGACGTAAAAGGTTTTACTGTGCAGAAGTGTTAAGCCTTATAAACGTTATGCTTACGGGATTTCATAAGAGCAAAATCATTAATCAGGGATGACATATCAATACTACGCAGAACATCATTTTCAATACTCAGAAGAGCAAGGCTATTTAGTCGTTCCTGTGTCATGGTTGAACGAAGATGATCCTTTATTAGCTTTAATTTCGAGAACGACCGTTCACCAGAACAATTTGATATCATCATACTGAGGTAAATGCGAAACACAATAACAGTGTTTTGAAATACAGTTTCCAGGTTATTTCCCACAAGAAACCTGTATATACGCAGTTCTAGGAGTCTACGTTCACTTTGATGTCGTCATCATCATCGGATGTTACATCGATGTCATGGTCTTCACTAGGCTGAGCAGAAGATCCAATTCGAGCTGAAGAATAATGAGGTGCAGCTGCATGACTCGCATCTAATGCTCTTTTCCCGAATTCTGTGTTGAGAAAGCTAGAAAACTGGAGCAATTCATCACCCAAATTGACTTCGAGGTCAGTGGAAAATGCTTTTTGCAATCTTTGTGCGTTTTCCAACACGTCTTCAGCTGGCAGATCTGTAAGCTTTCGCAGAAAGCCAAACTTTTCAGCAATGTTGATGTAAGCACTCAGTCGTTTTCGCAACTCAGCATCCAGACTATCGATTATTACAAGGAAAGTACCTGTGCGAAACTTGTCGGCTGGAATCTGCAACAAATCAGGTGCTGATCCTGGCTCGTCGTTACGACGATTTCGTTTACGCACGCGCTTGATCTCTTCTTTATATTGATCACATTCACTGAGCTCCTTTCCTTTGGCTTCAAATTCTTCAAATCTGGTTCGCAGCGAAAGGACAAACTCAATCAGCGATTCATATAATGCAACAGCAGTGTTGAGATCTTGATCAGCTAATTGCAGGATCTGACTTGTTCTCTGAAATCGTTGCAAGATTTGATGCCATAATGCTGCCAGAATTCCAATTTCAAGCTGGGCCATATCAGACGCAAGACTATTGGCTTCATTTTTGCTTCAGGCTTCTCATCTTGATCATCATGGATCTCGTCTAAAGCAGCATTAATTTCCTCGTATCCTATTACTAGAGCTTTTGTAGCATCTGCACGTGCTGACCATCGAGTATCAGACATACGTTTAACCGTTGGAAGTCTCTTGCTTGAAAGTTGGTCGGTTAAAACTTTCCAACGATGCGTTGAAGCAGCAAAGAAAGAGTACAATCGTTGGAGGAAGTTGAAGAATCTTGATGCTTCTTGACAACAACTGGCAGATGATTGTCCAACAAGATTAAGGGAATGTGCAACGCAGGGTATGTACTGTGCTAGGCTACAATGTTGCTGAATAATGGCCTGCATACCATTATATTTCCCACTCATATTGCTTGCATTGTCATATGACTGGCCGCGGCAATCCGAAATATTTATATTATTGGTTTTCAAATAATCTAGTAGCCTTTCAGCTAGCAATTTTCCGCTATGTCCACGTATGTTAAGGAAAGATACAAATCGTTCGACAGGACCAGAGGGTAAAACGTATCGAAGAATGCATGTCAGTTGATCAACGTGGGAAATATCTGGGGTAGAGTCTACACAGACGGAGAAATACTTTGCAGCTTTAACTTCTGTAAAAATCTGCTCGCGAACTCGAGTTGCCATCAGCTGGATGAATTCCTCGCAAATGGTCTTTGAGAGATAGGATGTGTGACCCTTTCCCTTATTTGCATTACGGTTGATGTGTTGCGCTAGAAATGGATCGAACATCGATATAAGTTCTAATGTTCCCAGGTAGTTACCGTTTTTTTAGCGATCCAACGATCTCATCAGTGCCGCGAAATGGTAAACTTCGCTCGGAAAGGTAACGGATGGTTTCTGTTACCCGCTCAAGTACTGCCCGCCAATAGTTACGCTCATCACTGGCCTGTGTGACCAGTTCTGAATCAATACGGCAGCCAGCATCGCTACGTTGGAGTAGCTGAAAAACAGCATTACGGTGCGCTGAACTTTTCTCATGTCGTGGAATTGACTGGGATGCGCGTTTCCAGACATTATAACCTTGTTTTCCAAAAACGATGCTGTCAGTCATGAGTTTACAAGCAAAACAGAACACGACATGTTTGGATGGTGAATAGCAGAGCCAGTTTCGAGTATGTTGCTGTTTTGTAAGCTCATGTGTGTACGTGAACAAAGTTTTTTGACATCGTCTATTGTAAGCATCTCCCTCATATCTTGTTGATGTTGCGCTGAAATCGGCATCGGAATTTCTGCACTGACTACTCCCTTGACCTGCCCAGTGCTCTCTCATATTGTCAGAAATATCAGTAGGCCATAATCCCAAATCACAAGAGTATCCATCATTGTTATCAGTGGAAATGGACGTATCACCAGATGTCAACTCCTTGGATGTGTCGCCGGTGTCGGGTTCCTCAACTGCTTCTGCCATTGTTGTCATCGCTTCATCTGCAGCAGTCAGCTCAGAAGAACCTTCATCAGCCTTCGGAGGAAACAGTTCCGATATTTTCGGCATTTTACTTAAAACTTTACTTTCCCGTAAAATTCGTTCATCCTTTGCCTTTCGTTTTGCTGCTCCAGATGCATATTTGCGATTTTTGTCGCGGTCGCGGTTGCCACCCCCCACTGGTGGAACTCATTCTTTAATTGTTAACTATATTATAGCAATTAGCAAACCTAAAAAATTTGAAAGTGACGTTTTAGTAATATTTACTTTCACAAAAACATAGAAGGACGATTTGACGGTTTACTATCGCACATACAGAATTGTGAGAAAATAAATCAAACACGCATACGCTTCTTGGGCCTTTGGAGCTGCCAGGAATTCAGGACATTCTTTAAATATATTGTTATTTCATATAAATCGGCAATTTATATATGAGGAATAAACATGTAACCAAGGAAACGTAAGAATGCAGACGGCTCACGGCAGTTAGTAAATCATCAAAACTTACCAAGCGTCGCCGTCACTGCTTCAGCATTCAGCCAAATACCTTGAATATCTCCAGTTTGAATTTGTCAACAACAATTACAAGTCACAAACAACAGCAATCTCAAAAATTATCAAAATGAATCGAAAAAAGTCTGATAGTATTCAATACGGTTTGAAAGTCGAGACTACAACAATATCGAGTTGCAATCCTACTGCCAGACGAAAAACTTTATGTAATATAATAGGTGTAGCTAAATTAACGGAAACTGCAACATGTAATATGACGATACAAATGGATCTCCTATCCCATTGCAAAATATAGCCTATATTTTGCCAGTGAATCATTGATACTTGCAGTGTTACCGTTTTTGGAATTGGGCCTCACGCTTTTATATTTCAATTAGTCTTGGCCGTTTTGTTTTATTTCCCTTTTTTTCTTTTTCCAAAGGCAAGCGCGGGGCCCGCGGCATATGCCGCTTCTGCCATATGGTTAATCCGGCACTGCCAGTATCCTTCCAGATAATCAAGTTTATCTTAAACTAAAAGGAATGATAGGTTGGGCCATTTTCTGTAAATGTGTTGAAGACATAGGAGCTTGACAGCATATGCTGGGGGGCTTGTGGGTTGCGCTCTTGCTTGGTGGTTTGGAAAATAGCCGACTAGATGTTATATTTTAAACGTCGACGTAAATCATTGTTACTTATTCCGCGGATAGAATTGGCTACATCCCTGCCAAAAATGTCCCACTCATCATCCACTTTCTCAGGTCCCTTTGGCCAACTCATTTAAAGCTGTTGCAGCTGTTTCCATCCACTGATTTGATTTTTTCCTTTTTGGTAACTGTGGATTTTCAGTTGGAGGAGTTGCATCCTCTTGCCCACTACCATCAAGTTCACCATGGTCCTCTTCAGCTGTTCTTGCAGGTTCAGTTGCCACGACATTGGAGAGAGTTCCTCTGTTTGAAATTATTATATCTTCAAGAAAAGAGCACTCCTCAAAAAACCTCCACTTCGGAATATATATATCCTTCACACCACTGCCGGTTGATTCAGATTTTTTTACTTTTCTAACCTCTTCACGATATGTCGTTCTAAGACCTTGGATTTTTGCTGCAATTTGTACAGATAAATGAAACAAGTTTAGTCTGCATATACACATTGCTTTTAACAATAAGTTAGAATGCCGTAGTAATTGTTTTGAACTACACAACGAAGCACAGTCCAACGGGCTCATGGTGACATCGCTGATACAATTACTGTTTAAACGTTAAGTGTACCCATCTTTGAAAGATCGATACCAGGGACGTCCTCTTTCATTATGTTCAGGATTTCTTGATAGTCTTTTTTCTTTTTATTTCTGTCTTTGTAGCATTCTGATTTTAAATTCCACAAACTCTCCCTTGTTCTAAGTAACTCAAGGAGGTGACTTGTGGCTGCATCAGTCCAACGCACGTTGTTGGCTGCCGCCATGTTGGCCGCTAAGACAGAGACCTTTGTGGCCACAACACTGAGTACGCAGAGAAATTCCGCTGACTAGGTTCATCACTGGCACGTCATTTGTTATATTTTCTTTGTTGGCCGTACAATGGGTCATTTGGCCCATTTTTCTATGACAAATGCATTTGTCACAGAAAAATATGGGAAAGTGACGCGTACAGACGGGCGTATAAAACTTGTAACATAGAGTTTTGTCATAGAAAATTTGCTCGTCTGTAAGAGCCTTAATGGATGGAATTCAGATAGTGTCTCTGTCATGATGTTTTCTAGGAAGATGTTGAACAGAACCGGAGAGAGCAGGCATCCTTGACGAACCCCAACTGTTGTCCTGAATGATTCTCCAGTCTCTGAGCCTTTATTACATCAGTAAGCCTGCTGTCGATGTTGTAATTCCTTAGGACTTTCCATAAGTCATCATGCTACACACGATGAAAAGCCTTCTTAAAGTTGTGAAACAGTTCATGCTGGTGTTGCATGTGCTTCTCTATGAGAATTCTGCTGTTGAATATCTGTTCGACTGTGTTTCTATTAGGTCTGAATCCTGCTTGTTCTTCTGCAAGTATTTCTTCAACCTGTTTCTTCAGTCTATTTAGTACAACCCAGAGCATGACTTTACTTGGGTGGCTGATCAAGCTGATTGTTCTGTAATTCTGGCACTGTTTAAGATTGCCTTATTTGGGTAGGGGTATGATCAAAGACTGAGTCCACTCATTTGGCCATTGCTTCTTTTCCCAGATCCTTTGGCAGATGGTGGTTAGAGCCTTTACAAGTTCTGGGCCTCCATGCTTCAGAAGTTCTGCAGGTATATTGTCTTCCCCTGGTGACTTGCCTCCTTTCAATGCATATAGTGCTGCCTTGACTTCCTGAAGAATTGGTGCATCTCCATTCTCCCTGTTTGTGTTGGGTTAGGAAGCTGGTATCTAGTCTCAAGTTGTAGTTGTACAATTCCTGACAGTATTCTGTCCACCTTCTAAGGACTACTGTTCCATCGGTAAGAAGTGAGCTGTTATTGTGTTCGATCACTGAGTATCTTGCTTGTTGTTTCCCTGTTAGCATCTTGAGGGTGTCATATGCAGTCTTGCTGTTACCATTTCTCATGCCTCTTTCTAGGATGTTACACTGTTCAGCAATCCAATTCTCTTTAGCCTTCTTCATTTTGTTTCTAATGTCTTCGTTGACTTTGGCATACTTCTGAGCGGCAGATGTATCTGTGGTCTTCTTCCTCTTGAGCTCTCTTCTGTTGTCACAACTAAACAACTAAAACAACTAAACTGAAACAACTAAAAGACAAAAAGAAACTGAACGAAAACGACTACAGAAGAATCCGACCCAATGACGCATCCACCTCCAAATTCTACGGACTACCAAAAATCCATAAAGAAAACAACCCACTTCGACCTATCGTATCGCTTCCAGGATCACCTACGTATGAACTTTCAAAATATCTTTATAACATTCTGTATCCATTAGTCAAAAATTCACCTCACACCATCAGAAATGCCACCACTTTCCTCCCCAGTATTGAAAACATTAAACTACGACCAGACGAAATCATGATATCCTACGACGTGACATCACTCTTCACATCCATACCACCAGACATTGCCAAACAAATTACAAACGAACTACTCACAAACGACAAAACTTGGCAAGCTACAACACAACTAGACAAAAATGGCATCCTAGACTTACTCAACCTTTGCCTCTCCACTGAATTCACCTTCCAAAACACATACTACAGACAAATTTCAGGCACACCAATGGGATCACCACTATCCACCTTCCTCGCAGAAGCTGTCATGCAACACCTCGAAACACAATCAGTCACAAACAACACAAACATCAGACTATGGAAAAGATATGTCGACGACATCTTTGCCATAGTCAAGAAAGACAAAACTGAACAAATCCTACACACCATAAACAATACCACAAAGAACATTACCTTTACTAAAGACGAAGAACACGACAAACAACTTACCTTCCTCGACATCCTACTAACCAGAACAGATGACGGTACACTAAACACACAAGTATACCGCAAAACCACCCACACAGACCAAATACTCGATTTCAACAGCAATCACCCAACACAACACAAAAGAAGCTGCATTCGAACACTTTTCAACAGGATAAACACTCATTGTAATACGGAAGAAGCCAAAAAACAGAACACAACTACTTATACTCCACATTTATTAAAAACAATTACCCTAGAAACTTCATAAACAAAACTATGAGAATCCACCTTTCATCCACCCTTTTTCGAAAAAATTTCAAAACAAAATAAAATCCAGAGAATCCTTATCATTATCATAATATGCCTGGGTTACCAATTTTCAAATATATTAAATCGACATATGGGATGGATACTCTCAGAATAACGAGAGTGGGAATTATTCGCACGCAAAGAAATATCCACGTTGGAGCAACTACACTTCTTACACAACTGCAAACAACAGCGAATCCTACCGAACAGCATCAACTACCAACCACCAATAAAAACGAATTATGCCCAACAAATAGCACAATCAAACGGCCGACGTATTCTGAACATCCTCATATCTGACGCTCACAACCGCTGACGAATCTACAGACGAAAATTAAACCAACATCGAGAAACTGTTGCGAATCACATCACACAAACAGATGCTAAATCCATTGACGAAACCATCAAAGAAACAACAAACGCCTATCGAACAAAACGACACAACGAACTCCAACGAAAACTACAATAATCGAGATCATTTAAGGAAATTAACACCGACACGCAGTCATGGGTCAAGAACATATCAAGCAAACCACTCACCGTACAGCAGACTAAAATTTTAAGCAAAGGCTTAAATTACAACATCAAAGACGCCAACAAACTTGACTTCGTTGCCGATCTAGAATCCACACTGAAATTCACCAACTTAAGTGATGAAATCAAAGAAGACATTCGCCACAAAGTAACGACAAACCTCTGCCTCAAAAGACCAGTCACACTTAACAACGAAGAACAAAAAGCTATCAGAAACTTACGAAACGACGAAGACATAGTCATACTACCAGCCGACAAAGGGCGCAAAACTGCAATCATGGACA